AGAGCACGCGAGAGCTGGAGGACAGTCACGGCAGAGCTTCAGTGACAAACACAGAAACTGAGCAGGAAGACAGTAAAGGCAACAACGTGTGCCTGGGAGGCAGACATGCGGGCAACGGCGGCGGAGTCGGAAGGCCGCGCCTGAGCCTGGCCGCCCGTACGCTCGTCTAGAGGGACAAACAAACAAACAAACAAAGCGGGCGCCGGCGATCTCGTTCAGATCTCGTTGGGGAGGAGGCTGGACGAGGTTTGGTGTTTAGTGGAATGGGATTCACATCGTCTTGTCAGCGGAAAATCGGCATTCGGTGCAGCGCGACCGAGATAACGAGTTTTCGTCGGTCGCTGTACGGCGTACGGTACATAGCGAGTGGACCTCCCGTTCAGCGTTCCGGTGGAAGCACACTAAGCCTATGGAATGTATAGAGTATGAAAAGTAGTTTGTGCTACAACTGGACTCGCTAGAAGGGGTCGGAGGCGAGAACCACGCCCGCGCGTCGGTGCAGACGAGACCGAGACGAAAGATGAGTGGCGGTGTGGTGTGGCACTGACGTGGCTACTTGCCAGCATTCCTCTGCGGTTCCTCCTCCCACCAAAAGTATGGGATGAATGGAAGTCGGCGTACAATCGATTAGAAAATGAAGAAGATTTTTTGATGCAAGGGAAAAACCTCTCACGATCCATCTCGAACGTTCCGTGCCGCTCCGCCTGCCGAGATCCTCGGAGCAGATCGCGCTGACCCGCAGTCCGTGGTGGGTACAAAGGCGAGGGCCGCCCCCGCCTCGCTCTCTCTCCTTCCGCTCGCTCACTCGCACACAGCACTCGCCCCTTCCGTCTATACCTCAAAAGTTAGTGTAACTTGTGGATCGTCTTACTGCTCGAGCACCATCGCTGACCTTGGTGCCCTCCTTTGTCCCGTCCTCGCCCTCCCTCTTATCGTCACACAAACAACGCCACCTCGTCCTCGCTCGCCCCTTCCCTCCAGCCCACAACTCGCACTACCTCCCATCCACCAGCACAAGTCACACACCAAACGATGCAGATCTTCGTCAAGAGTAAGTCGCGTCCTCCCCTCTTCCTCCACCACCGAACGTCGCCTCGCGGGAGCACGCCACCGAGCTCCACGAGTCAGCACGAACTCGGTCTCGCCCGGCCCGCCTCCTGGCCCCTCGCGCGTTCGCACAGACGCTGACTTTCGTTCCATCATTACTTCAGCCCTTACCGGCAAGACCATCACCCTTGAGGTCGAGTCGTCCGACACTATCGACAACGTCAAGGCCAAGATCCAGGACAAGGAGGGCATCCCCCCAGACCAGCAGCGTCTCATCTTCGCCGGCAAGCAGCTCGAGGATGGCCGTACCCTTTCCGACTACAACATCCAGAAGGAGTCGACGCTCCACCTCGTCCTCCGTCTTCGTGGAGGTATGCAGATCTTCGTCAAGAGTGAGTTCAGCTTCTTGCGCGCGCGATGTGGACTGTAGGAGCTGGAGCTGACTTCCGACCGCTGTTAGCCTTGACTGGAAAGACCATCACGCTCGAGGTCGAGTCTTCCGACACGATCGACAACGTCAAGGCCAAGATTCAGGACAAGGAGGGCATCCCGCCAGACCAGCAGCGCTTGATCTTTGCAGGCAAGCAGCTCGAGGACGGTCGCACTCTTTCGGATTACAACATTCAGAAGGAGTCGACGCTCCACTTGGTTCTCCGTCTTCGTGGTGGCATGCAGATCTTCGTCAAGAGTGAGTTCTTGCTTCGTTCCGCCGCGATTCGGTTCTCGGAGCGTATTGCTGACGCGCGGCTTTGTTTACAGCGTTGACCGGCAAGACCATTACTCTCGAGGTCGAGTCGTCTGACACGATCGACAACGTCAAGGCGAAGATTCAGGACAAGGAGGGCATCCCCCCAGACCAGCAGCGTCTCATCTTCGCCGGCAAGCAGCTTGAGGACGGTCGCACGCTCTCCGACTACAACATCCAGAAGGAGTCGACGCTCCACCTCGTCCTCCGTCTTCGTGGTGGCATGCAGATCTTCGTCAAGAGTGAGTTTTCGCTTCGTTCCGCCGCGATTCGGTATTTGGAGCGTATTGCTGACGTGCGGCCTCGTTCACAGCGTTGACCGGCAAGACCATTACTCTCGAGGTCGAGTCGTCCGACACGATCGACAACGTTAAGGCGAAGATCCAGGACAAAGAGGGCATTCCCCCAGACCAGCAGCGTCTTATCTTCGCCGGCAAGCAGCTCGAGGATGGACGCACGCTCTCCGACTACAACATTCAGAAGGAGTCGACCCTTCACCTTGTCCTCCGTCTTCGTGGTGGTATGCAGATTTTCGTCAAGAGTGAGTGCCTTTTCGTCTGTTTGAGCTTCCAAGGATGAGTGCTGACCCGGCGCTCTGCAGCCTTGACTGGCAAGACGATCACGCTCGAGGTCGAGTCGTCCGACACGATCGATAACGTCAAGGCCAAGATTCAGGACAAGGAGGGCATCCCCCCAGACCAGCAGCGCCTTATCTTCGCCGGCAAGCAGCTTGAGGACGGTCGCACGCTTTCCGACTACAACATTCAGAAGGAGTCGACGCTCCACCTCGTCCTCCGTCTTCGTGGCGGATGCTAAGCGGGCGAACTTGATGGGAATGGGAATCGTTGTAGTTTTGTTTTAGCTCAATCGAATTACCAACCTCTGAGGCCTTTTACAAGCTATACACAGTTGTTGTTGCGAGTTGCTCTGCATTGGGATGTGTTGAAAGTTTGTGATGAGCGCTGCGCCTAAGTCGTGCTCTCTCAAATCGTAAAGACCACGTCAGCGAGGCAGTGCGCGGCCACAAAGTCCTTCTTTCTCCAGCTTTCGACTCAGCAGAGGGGAAAGAAGCACAAATTTCCTAATCTTTACTATTTCGTCTCTTCAAAGCTATTCCTTCTATCTACAACGTATTTCCACTTTCACCGCACTTGCTCGCTCAAAGCATCGCTCCAAGTGCGACGACCGCACAGCTGAACAGCGCGACGACCATCTTTCCTCCGACAATCTTCTCCGCAGAGCTAGGCGTCGAGGTGGTACCGGCAGCGTTCGATCCAGTAGCGGTTCCCGTAGGGCTGCTGGTGATCGAGTCGCCCGAAAGAGCAGGGGAAGTCGAGGCGGGGACGGAAGAGTCGACGCTGTACCCGAGTCCCGCGCAGGCGGAGGCGAACGCTACGTGGGAGGGAGACTGTTAGTGGATGATAGGAGGCGTCAGGGAAGCAGGGCTTGCCGTTGGTGGTTTCGGTCACCTCGACACATTCAGCACACTTGACCCACGCGGCATAGTAGGCGGCAGTGCAGATGCATTTCGCAGCGGCGGCATCACTGCTCTCGTAGACGCAAGGCTGGGACCCAAGAGACCTTTGATGAGCTCTGAGAAATCTAGAAGGAGTAATGGCGAGCTCTCACCTGGTTCAAGTTGACAAGGTCGGCACAAACGGCGTCCAATCCTCCACCCCGGGGCACGCACGACAGGTGGTCGGTGAACGACGTCGACATGGTGTTGAGCTGACACGTCAGGTCGTTTGCCGAGTCGGTGAACGCGACTCCGGTCCGTCGAGCGTTGCACCCGATGATGGAAGGCGTGGAGGACGACGCGCTGGTACGCGTGGCAGTCCCCGTCGCGGAGGCCGTCGTGCGGGTCGCGGCCGAGGAGCCGGACGCAGACCCGCTCGTGACGGAGCGGGAGGTAGGGATCGTGCCGTTGAAGGCGCTGGTTGCAGCAGGTCCCAGGACGCCGCTGCCCCCGATAGAGGTGGTCTCAGCTTGGCGCTTGAGGAGGTGCAGGCCGTGTGGGATCACGTCGCCGGGGATGGCGGAGGTGAGTGCGAGGGCTGAGATTGGGTGGGAAATTGGCGGAGAGGATCGGGGGTCCGGGAGTTAGATTATGAATTGAAGCTCAATAGGATTTGATGGGAAACAGACCTGGGAGGAGAAGCGCGACGAGGGACGAGGAAGCGAGCATGGCGGTGCAGTCGGAGGTCTCAGGATCAAAGCTGGAGGGTCGAGGTGCAGAGCAGGAGGAAAGGAGAGAGAGAAAAGGAATCAATGCAGAACATTAATGAGTCCATGCCGGGTGCCGAAGTTCCCAGGCTAGCGGGACGAGCACCGGACAGGGCGCCTCTGCCAAGCCTACGGTGCCGCACCCTTGGCGCCCGCCGGCAGGGACCCACCACGACAGTCAGGCAAATCATGACGAAGGAGGCAGGTCATGGAAACCCGGGTCGTCCGTTCCTTTTTTGAGTGCTGGTCGCCTGACCAGTACGACGCTCGTACGGCAGTTGATGGAGGAGCGGAAGGCCAGACGAGGGAGCGGATTGGCGAGAAGAAAGGCGTTCAAGAAACGTGTCGAGGAATGGAAAGGCTTGGAAGGGATCTGCGCGCCGTCTGAGCAGAAGTGTTGAGCCGGTGTCCACCAGAACAAGTCTCAGCTCCGGGAGTGGTCAGCGTTAGCGCACGTTTGTCCAAGAACCCTGACCTGCCGCCGCCCGTTCCTCCTCGTCCCCACGAATTCAACAAAGTGGGCATCATGTGAGATGTGATGCGATGGGGTCCAACACAAAGGAGGAGAATCATGGCTCTAGCGAGCTTCGAGTCGCTCGGATCACCGTGGTTCAAGCTACGTTTTCGCGGGCAGACCACGTCAGATATTCTGATCGGCAGCGAACGAGTGAAACGGGTCGGGTCCCGGGTTTGTTCTTCATCAGATTAGAAAGATTTGGAATGGAAAAGGCCTTCAATCGCGTTGTTTGTATCTGTCAACTCCATTGCAGCAGACTACGATCGAGAAGTGGAGGTCTGGAGTACAACGCTGAATGCAGTTTACGCGCGCCGAGCAAGAGGAGGCTCGGGCGCGGGGGGCTCAGGCAGTTGGCCCATACCCACAGAGAGCGTTTTTTGTATCTATCGACTCAATTGCAGCGGACGCGGCTCGGGAACAGGCATAGGTTCTATGAGACTCAACTGGAGATGATCCAGCATCTTAAAAGGCGATGTAGCCAAGTGGTTACGGCGATTGACTAGAATTGTCTATCTCTTCTAACTTATCAATTGGGTTTACCCGCGTAGGTTCGAATCCTGCCATCGTCGGAAAGACATTTCTTTTTGCGCTTTGTGGAGCCGAGGCCACGTCATCTTTTTGAATGTCATTATGGCCCCGACGGTCTCACAAAAATGAGGGCAATGGGCCCGTTATGATATTGCGTACCTTTTTGGACAGAGCACTTCCTACAGCCGTTACAACTGTCCCTATTCCCGCACAGACCTACGGCTCAGCTGCAATGCAGCCTACGATTCTGACTCTCGCCCCTCTTCCCCTCCTACCACACCATCCCAACTCAACCGAAAAATGTCCACTTATTCCACTCATCGCCACTACTCTCCACGTCCAGTCAGCACCAGTCCTCACATCGACCCTCCTCTCTCCCGCTCTCTGCTTGCCAGTGCAGCGGAGCGTCGAGGCGAGGCTCATGCCGAAGCGTCCAAACCACCCACAATCGAACAACTGGTTGCTCAGACTCCATTTGTGCCACTTTCGGTGGACCAAGAGCCTGTGTTGAAGATTTTGAATGGAACGGTCTGTTTCCGCTTTTATTGTTCCGAGAAAGGGTCGGAAGCTAAACATGCCTCTCGGCAGTTCATCCCTGGCAACACGCTTCAGCGCCAGACGAAATCTTTGGAAACGTTGATTACTATCCTCGAGAACGTTGAAGTCCCTATTCCGGATGAGAAGCACCTCAAGCTCCGCCGCCGGAACAAGAGTTTTACAAGGAGAACGTCGACGAAGTCAGTGGCGGTGTGGATCTCTTGCGTGCGCATATCGTTCTCCTACCCCCTCCTCCATCTCTTGTCTAGCTCACAACCCACTTAATGCGCAACAGTGAAAGCTGGATTCCGAGTCCGGGTGACCGATTTCGAGGAATGCTTCATCTTCCCCTCCACGCCCTCCCCCACCCAACTCTACAAGCTTAAAACGGCTCTCTCTGTTCTTTCAACAACCTTGGAACGAGTCACAGCAGCGACGGAGTTGGAGAAAACGAGGAAGGAGGCGAACGAGAGGGAGAAGGAAATGGCGGCGGCGATGGCGGTGTTGAGTATCAGGGAGGATCGTGAGAGGAGGAATGAAATGGATAGGAGGAGGACGAGGAGGAAGGCGGAGTTGGGGGAGGTGGAGAGCAAGCCGTTGGAGAAGAAAGACTTTTAATTCTGAGAACGTGAGCTTTACGTTGGTTGACACCGGAACGTCATTTTCAGAACGCGATACCAGTGAAGCGAGAGGCATGAGGGAGTGATGACGTGGAGTTGCTCGTCCGTATTCTTATTGACCAGATCTACTTCTAATTACCGTCAAAGTCAGAACGAGCTCGTTGAGTTTAAACCTCCTCTTTCTTGACATTGCCCTCATCTGCTGCCGTCTCCGACGCGGCTTTCGGCTTCTTGATGCTGAGATTGCTGATGAACATCGTAGCTCCCAACCCAAGAGCGCCTGGAGCGCTTCAAGTCAGTAACTTCAACCCATATTTCTATACATAACAGCAATGCACTCACCTACTGGTACCACGATGACGAACACGATCTGCAAGCTCTTCACGTAGGCCGTGAGGATGGAGGACAGCTGATCCACCGGCGCCTGCGACCGAATGAGCGTGGGCGACTCTTTGACGATCTCGATGAGAGAAGCGCTCGCTTGAGGAGCGTATTTTTCGAGGTTCTTCCCAAGTTGAGTGGAGAACGCCGCCTATGATCGCCCGGGATGGTCAGCAACGTGGGTGTCTGCTGAGAACTCGGGGAGACGGACCTCGCCTGCGCCGAGAGCTACGACACCGCCAAGGAACTACAAGAATAATCTTCAGCACAAGAAGAGACTCACTAGGTAGACCTCAGCTTACCTGACCAAACGAGACAAGCCCAGTAGCTTGAGCGATAAGGGCCGGAGTCTCCTGAAACTCTGCCTGAATGGCCAAGAGCGCGTTCTGCAGCGCGCATCCGACTCCTACTCCAAGGAGAATCTGGTATCCAATCAACTTTGCTGACGACGAGTATTGGTCGACGGTGTACATGAGTCCGGAGCCTATGGCGGGAAAGAAGAGCAACCACGTGGCTGTCAGGGGGCTGCGTTCCTTCGCAATGGCTCTAGAGGAGCAGAGCAGACGTACCGAGACAGATAGGAATAGGCGCAAAGATGAGGAACGGCCAGTAGCGCCCCAATCTTGCCACGATTTGCCCCGAAATGATCGCGGTCAAGACGACTCCGAGCATCGTTGGCAGTAAAGCGATGCCGGAACTGGTCGCACTCTTTCCCTTCACGGCTTCGTAGTAGAGCGGGATGTAGTACACGAAAATGAACCTTGAGATTGGTCCATAGTGAGTGATTGCCTTCGAGCGACGTGGCAAGAACGGAACAAACTGAGCGAAACGGTTCGTGAAGGCGCAACCGATGATGGCCGGGACGGAGATGGATCTGGAAGGCGCGAGTCAGTCGTCACCAAATTGGGGCAAGGAAGAACTGGGCTCACTTGAAGAGGGAGACGGGAACCATCGCTCGAGCACCGATGAACCACTCCCAGAAGCCGAGGGCGATGCCCAGCACAGGCGCGAGGATCAAGCAAGCGAGGACAGGACCTGAGCTCCAAGGCTTGGTGTTGCCTCCCCATTGAAGGGCGAGGACGAGCTGCAGCGTCTCGAATCTCATTAGAATATGTAGTTAGTACAGTTTTGGACAAGGAGGAACGCACACAAGTGACAGCGCTCAGCACCAATGCGGCTCCAACCCAGTCCATTCGAAGGATTTGGCGGAAGAGTGAGCGATACGACCTGTCGCTCAGGTCTGCGCCGAGAGGAGGAGCGGCCTTGAGAATCAGCGAAATGATGAAAATTGTAGTTCCTCCAATAGGCAGGTTGATCTGTTTCACCGGAAAGTCTTAGCTCTGTACTCCACGCAGGAGTGTGAAGTGGGCCTTGCGTAAAAGCACCAGCGCCAGCTGACGTGATCGGTAAGCTGTCCGATCGAAAGGGTTCAAATTCAGCTGAGTGGGTAGAGCTGAGATGGAGAGCGCTTACAGCGCCACCGATAAGGGGTCCAATAATCGACGAAAGACCAAAGACTGCTCCAAAGAGCTAGACAGCCGGACACGTCAGCCCCCGCCCATAAAAGAAGAATGACACCCACTCCGAACAGCTTGGCCCGAGCCTCAAGGCGGACCACTGGGAGCGGAAAGAAGCGTCAGTTTTCGCCTTTTTTCGACTAGAGGGGTGCTCACCCTGCGAGAGGATCTGAATCATAGCGATGAACATCCCAGCGGCACCGACACCGCTGACTGCTCGGCCGCCGATGAGGATGTTGACGTTCTGGCCGGCGCCGCACATTGCTGATCCGACCTCGAACATAGCGATTGATCCGATGAGGGCCCATTTGGCCGGGACGATTCGGAGAGCTGCCGTAAAACAGGAGGTGAAGGCGGATTTAGCTTGGGCTGGCTTGGTTGCAGCTAGGACGTGCTGGCTTACCTTGACTCCATGGAAGAAGGCAGGCGGCTGAAGCAAGTTGTTAGCTCTAAATGAGTGAAGCAAGACAACAAGCCAGGTGCAACCGTACTTTGAGCTGAACGAAAGATGCGGACCCGTCAACGCCAGGGGTCAGCTCCTGGTGCTCGTTGAAAAGTAGACGGGCAACCCACTCAGAATGAAAGCAGACGAGACCCATCCTTGCTGAGAATAGGCTTGAAAATCGCTAGCGATCTTCGGCAGCGCCGTCGCCAACAGCGTCTGACTACGTGGTCGCGGCTTCAGTTCCCCCCTTCAAATCCGCGCGAAACGACCACACAACTCACTCGAGGGCGATAAGCAGCAAAGAGAGCAGCATCCCACCAAACACTACGGCAAGCTGAACTCCATCGAGGTACTCGGGCTCCGGAGAAGAAGTGGGAATGGGCGTCGCCTGGCCTGGAAGGGTGAGGGATTCGACGGATCGAGCGGCCACGTTGCGAGCATCCTCGTTCAAAGCAGGTTTGGTCGTTACTTCGGACATGGCGTAAGGAACTTAAATGCGAGGGAGAGAAGAGAAAGAAAGGACCAGACGAAAACAGCTCGGCCAAGGCGTTCCGAATGAAATCGGTCACTCGGGCTTAAAGCAAGACGAAACGCGCCGACAAGGGCCTCGTCAGCCCACGGCAGCCGTACTCCGGGCTCAAAGGAGGGTATGAGTTCGGATATCGCTAGCGGAGGACATACCTCCGAACAAACACGGAGGATATACCTCCGAACAAAGGCGGAGAATAACGTCGGACCTCTGCTGCATAATGTTTCGCCCGTTGTCGTGCTTGAGCCGCCGGCGTTCGTTGTCAGCGCGGCGTTCGTTTTCAGCGGTGTTTGGGCCCGACGCGCCCGAACCATTGGTGGCTTTGCGCCGTTCGTGCGCCAGAGGTAGTTAAACTTGTCGTCAGGGTTTCTTCGGAGTATGCTTCAGTCGTAGAGGGTCCAAGCCGTGGTCAAGAATACTAGGATGGGAAAAACATGGGCTGCATTGCGAGGATGACGTGGGTATCGTGAATAGAGCTTGCGTAGGATATAAGTGAGAAGATTGAGTTGTACAAGATGCTACCTCGTTTTAAAGTCAGAATGGATCGGGGTGGTGGAGAAAAGTGCACCAGCTCACCTGAGATAAGAAATACTCCCTCCGTTCGCGCCTAATGCTTCCGACTGACCTTGCCCATAATCCTGAGCAAGCTCACGACCATCACCCCAATGTACCTGTTTCCCAGCACCATCCATGAGCTACTGATGTTTCATAACAAGGAGCCAAACTCACAAGATGACCGAGAGGAACAGCAGAGTGACGAGCGCGACCTGCTGCCCACAGATCTTATCCGCCAACGTCCCTTCGACCTTCGACGACCCTGCCGATATTGGCGGCGAGGAGAACTGAGAGTAGGGAGTCCAAGAAGTGCATTCGAGAGAGGAAGTGAAAAGATCGTCGAAGGCGAGGGAGAGGATGGACGAGTAGAAGCAGATGAAGATAAGCTCGCTGAGAGTATGCATCATCTGGGGTGAAAGAGGAGAGGAGGAAAAGGAGAGTAGGGGCCAGGAGGTTA